GTATAATTTATGAAGCATCCATTTAGCATCCATTTGTTACCGTTCTGAATCCAAATGATACATATTGGCATCCGTTTTATACATATATGTTTACGTTTACAAAATGATGTTCAAATATCTTCTCTATTACAGGAATGTAGTAGCTGAAACTTTCCTATATTGTCATACTATATATATTGAATATGTATGCAATATTTCAAGACTCAGTGTTAAGTAGGAACTCTGAAATCACTAACCTCGATTTGCTGTTATATTTTTGCAATGACCCCATTCCCTATAATGTACGCGAGCACATACGATACATTACATGTACATAACCGCATCCACATATCGACTAGCCACAGTGTGTAAAAGCAAACTTGTTTTGAGCAGCAAAAATACTATAAAATTTACAATGAGAGTTAGGTCAACTGTCATCAAGAAACTGGTACATATATCAAGTGTCCCATAAATGAATTGCTTTTTGATAAGTATTTTTTCAGCAATTAATTTATCAATTGCCGAGAAAATGCTCATCAAAAAGCGATTCTTTTTTGGGGACACCCGATATATTCAACTGATAATTGTATAATATTTGCTTGTCTTTGTTTATGCGCTCGGCATCTCTCTTTCAGCTCTTACTGAGGAAGGCAGAAACCAACTAATATTTTTTACCAACAAAAATCCTAGAATACTCGAGAGAACTGCGGCAGTCTGGTAGCATTCAAAGACAATAGGTTCATCATATCAATATGTTCAATGGTCACAATTGCGACTAATAATTGTTGTATCTACTTACTCACATATTCATAACAGATACAATAGATGGCAGGACGTTAGCAGCCTAATAGTCATCCAAAGTCATTTAAGGACACTGTATAAAAACTGAACAGTAAATGGAGAATGATACTGATGTAACAATAAATTACATCCAATATGAGGCAGATTTCACTTTCACTTGGAAAAAGTGATATTGAGAATGTCTAATTGCTTAATCTCTCATGGAGAATATATTAGGGTTATGTACTGGGAGGTTTTGGATACAAGTTTTATCCCACATCTTGCTTCATCAAGTTTCGGACCTATCCTAGAACGTAGAACGTAGTGATTGAGCGTGGGAACCGACGATGTTTATCCCAAGGGAAAGGAAGAGGTGTGATAATAGGCAAATCTCCCATGGTCAAAATGAATCATTCTTAGATGTAACATGATGAATAGGATGTCCTATAATTCGGACATATTATATCCTATAATTTTGGAAAATATTAAAGTGTGCGCCCGACCTGGCTACGTATATAACAGAGTTTATACTGGCGGATTAGACTAGTTCATTTTTTATATGTGTGTGAAAGCTTTCTCTTATTTGCGTTTTTTCGTTTAGTACGGTTTTGTTATAATTGCCGAGGTCATATAACCGGGATAAAACAATGATTATCGTTGACTGCGCACACACAAAACATTTACGTCGAGTGAACAGTGTTATTAAAAACAACAAGCTTTAGAATACAAAGCCCAGTAGTGTGATAATAAGCTGTACACTACCACTGCTGCATGTACATATTAGGGCTCATAAAGAGTGGATAGGGAGGTTGTGTTTGTCACTTTTAAATTTTACATTTCAAAATTGCCATTTTACATGTCATAATTTCTTGGTTTCATTCGTTTAGCCGATCAAAACATTGTAAAACAATAAATCGTCTGTTACGTATAATCAATTTTGTTCAGTTTTCATTAGTTGTCAGAATGAAGTTACGTTCATCTGAATCCATGTTTCAAAACAAAAATCATATTTTCTTCACTTCAAAATACTTCAGTGAGATGAATGCTCGGAATTGTCGTTTGCAATAACTTATTGTCGTATTCGTTCTTTTATCTACTCGATAGAAGCATTTAGTCGTACATTTGATGCCAGGTCACCTTCTCGCGTACCTCTTGGGGAGCCCCACATTTGTGTCTGTACTCATGGAAGTAAATTCCCCGGTGTAGTCGAGAGCCACACACTTTCAACAGGTTCGAAATGGCCAATTTCTCTCATATATACTCATATTTTATTAATTATCACCTACAAAGTATTGCTAATAACTATATGTAATTTCAATAAGGAAACTTATCTGGCTACATGTACATTCAATATCAACACTACGTGTAGGTCTTACCTTGTGATGACAAACCCTGGGTTTTTATAGTTTATCAACACCTGGACGCATGCGCATTTTATAGTTTATCAGGCACTTTAAAGTGATTGGGCACACCTTGGCTGAGATACATGTAGGGGTCATTTAGTTCAGCAAGCTAAGGTTGTATTGACTTACATCATGGGACTGTGCACCATTGACGTAACATGTGAATAGAAGCCATTGATTAATTTCCACTGGTTATCACAAAAATACCAAAAATACACTATGACCTGAATCGATTGCAAACTTAATAATTTCACAATATGACACAAATTGTTTATCATGCAAATATGAAGTTTGCAATCGATTCAGGTCATACTTTAAATTAAAAGATTGTACATTTTTTCCATCATTTTGTCCTACAAAATGCTTCAAAAACAACTTTTACATTTATCCAATATCATACAACTTTGTACATATTTGGATAAGATATAGGGATGTGTAGGATGCAAATGGATTTTGATAGACCCAAAAATACTTCCTGGTTTGGAACGTATGCTTTACACTTCATGATTGAATTATGGCCCTAATTAGTGGCCTATACATCAATCCCGGGACATCAATACAGTGCTGAATATGGGTCAACGGGATACCAGAGTGCATATCAATGTAATAATAAAAGCAGTAGGCCTATAGTCATTTTGAAAAATCAGATGAATAATTTTTTTCATGAGGATATCATAATGGTGAGCGCATTACTTCCTTAGTGTGTGTTTGTAAATATGAAAAAAGGTATTAACAATTATGTCCTATGTCCTTATGATTTCAACAAGAGAATAACGCATGCGATATTTATTGACATAATTTATTGATAGTGCAAGTGGGGAAGTTGTTAATTTATTATACATCATTTAAAACGAAACTAATATCATATCTTGTCAACTTGACTTTTCACTTTATAGTCAACAAGTTGTAGTATTTGAATACTCAAAGTTTAAGGTAAACACGGGGTGGGTGTTGTAAACGAGTGTAGACGATCCTCAGGTGCTTGTTTGCTTGTTTTACTCTCCAGTCTGTGACTCTGTGATCTTTTCGGTCTTACTTACCGGTAATTCTTTGGCGGTTTCTGCATAAACCATAAAAATGAATACTAGCCAGGGGCGTAGCCAGCTTTCAGTCGGGGGTGAGGGTGAGGGGTACGATCACCAAAAAATCGGTTTTCAGTCGGGGGAGGTTATGGGGGGGGGGGGTGCGATCGAACCAATCGCACCCCTCCCTGGCCACGCCTATGCTAGTAAAAACTGATTAGCATTAATATTCTACACATATGTGCAACGTTCGATTAGCTTCTATAACACAGCTTTAGCTAAAGATTAGCTAAGAGCTTTCGAAATCTTTCCATCGTCACAGTCTTTTTTGATTAACATCATATCAACCTCACCATCGCTGTTATCCAGTGGATCTCATATACTAGTAAATCCAACCATACGATCACTTCTTGTGCTGTGCCAATCTGCATCGCTACTGAAATTGTCCCTATTGATGATCTCCATAGCAATAAAGAAACATTGGTAAGAAGGCTACAATCTCAGTAGCAATACAGAGAATACAGAATATTTCCGAGGGATCATCTCCTAAGTAAAATGCATTGGCCTAAGATCACTCGATAAAAACGTTAATAGAATGATTTGATGTGCAATACAGGATACATTCTGCTCTCGATATTCTGTTGATCGACACTCGACTTCGTCTCATGCCAATACAGAATTTGGAGGATTCGAAATGATGTCAATTTAAATTTCAAGCCCTAAAAGTTCAAAGTTGTATTTTCTTTACAGACTATTCAACTAGAAACGCAAAACATAAATGGGCTTTAGCACGTAATCCAATACAGTGTTACATATAGTACATGTAAATAACATTGACACACATTTCAGTTATCCTCTCCATGTAGATTTATAACTAAATAAATATTAACGACTTCCATTTCCCTATTATCACTGGGGGGTATCGTGATGCAAAAACACCGCGTTGTTGCATCAAGATGGCCAGACTTCCGGTGATAGATTTTCGACAGATATTTTATTTTCTCAATTTAAACCCATTTTTGCTCGAGTTTCTAAATAATCATTTATAGATTCTACATGCAGTTAGGGCATGCTCTATGATTTTAAGAAATGTTCTTAGTTACATCTACATCATCAAGAAGCGATAAATTCACGGTTTTAGTTCCTCACTTTTCATGCAAAAACACGACACCGGAGATGCAGAAACACCATCCTATGTTTTGTCCAATGATGCAAAAACACCAATACATGTCATATTGTTAAATTATATCATGGGCGTCCATAGACTATTTATTAATTAATTGTGTAATTTCATAAGACCATAAATCCCGAGAGGGACAATTTAAAATGATATTTCTGCAAACTGGGATAGAGAACCTCAGATCATAGAACCTGATCGTTCATTGAGTCCCACTTTGGACCACGTGGGGCAAAATTGGGCAAAGTCCAAAGGAGTCCATGGAGCGAAATCCCATGAAATCCGAGAGGTCCCACGCAATGTTAAATCTACATAGAGGTCCCATCGTGCCCATTGGGGCAAAATCCCACTCGCCCAATCAAGTCCCATTGAATCCCAACATGCCCAATCGAGTCCCAAATTAGGGCAAAATCCTACTTGCCCTATGTGGTCCCACTGAATCTCACCATGCCCTATCAAGTCCCACACAGTAATGATGTTATTAGAAGGCTTTCTTTCGAAAATCTATCACCGGAAGGGTGGCCATCTTGATGCAACAACATGGTGTTTATGCATCACGATACCCCAAGTGCTATATCGAACAGTTGGCGGCAAGTGATACTAAAATGTTTTAATTTGAGGAAGTATTGAGAACAATCCCGGGAGAACAGTAAAGCTGACAAAATTGACATGGCAGGTATGTATATAGTAATATATTGTCGTGCTGGTCGGTTCTAGATAATTCATTCCTGGAGGATCAGGTGGGATGGAAACACTGGAGTCAAACAACCCAAATTGCAGGGCTGTATGCTCCAGAATAACTTCCCCACCTGTTTCTTTGGGACGAAGGAAAAACCCTCTCGAGATTTCAAAGTATTAACTAAAATTTCAGGATTTTTTCATATGTTCTATAACCGTCAAAAACAATTGTAGACTGTGAACATAATAAACACTGAAGAATGCGATATAGGAATATTGAAAGCAATATATTTTCTCAATCAACATGCAATTTGAGTAAATTGGCCGGCTTTGTGAAAATATAAAAAATGCAGTTATTTTTGCCGTTCCATTTGTCTGCCTCCTATTTATCCCTCGTGACCATCTTTAAACCGAGTTTTATCCATCTTTGTGGATCCATCATTTTGTCCATCTTTAAACCGAACAATGTGTTTTAGTCAGAAGGCTAAAAGATAAGTGAAACTTGTTTTCCAACTTATCAAGTGTGAATCATACATGTAGTTGTACAATTACTGGAAACGACTGTCAAGAGACCTTCTAGAAAATATGACTGAGAAAACTAATATTAGATGCATCTGAAAGCTCAACTCTTAAATATATAAATTGTCAAAAAATATCATATATCTGTCTTAATGCAATTAAGAATATGCTGCACCCGGATGCTACAAAGCACCATTATTAAATAAATGCAAGCATTCACTAATAACATTCTAATAAAACGACATGTCACAATTCAGTTTCAGTTTAGATTTCTTTATTTTCTAACAATTCTTTCCTAATACAATTAAGCTTACGGATATGCTACAAAGCGGCACTGGGATTAAATGCAAACATTCACTAACATAGTAGTAAAAATGAAATGTCACAATGTTCCGTTATCTTTTGTTATTTGTGTTTCTTTAAAAATTGTTTTTTAAAAAAAGCACTTTCAAATGTATCTGTATTTGCTATCCTACATTTATATTCATAAACTTAAGTATTGTTAAACATGCAAAGAATGTATTTTGAAATTCCTTATTGACTTTCTCCCCAACATTATTTTGTAATAGAAGGACCAGGTAGGTCAAGTGATTTTGGACAGTCATATCTTTCTGGCTGTAAATGGTATTTTTTTCTTTCAAGTGAAGCCCCCATGATAATAAAAATATCAATCCATAGGGCAAACTCATGATATCCATTGTTTTCAGCATAATTTTGGTCATTGAAAATTGATATCTTCAAAACTAAACTTTCAATAACATTCTACTTATGACACTTCCGGACCCATTGTTGAATAATCTTTCCGTGCAATAAAATATTCAAAATGGCTCATAGTGGCCCATGCTATAACGTTTTGATAAATCACAGTCTTTCTGATTTTCAGAACAAACGTCACACTTGTGGCTTGAACCTGTCGCTCATAGTATAGTAAAGCACATCTTTAAGGTAGGGAGAAAACTGGGCATAAGCGATGAAGACATGGACATTCTAAAGGATGACCACCAGGGAAATTCTGAAGAAATGACATATCGAATTCTACGAAAATGGCATAAGAGTTACGAGGGACGCAATCCCAAAGTCGCATTGCATGATGCTCTCGTCGAATGTGGCTTAAATGACATTGCTGACAAACACCTTGGGCAGAAAACCATAGGTTAGTGTCAGACTGATTTTTTACGATGAATGAGGTACATTTATTAGCTTGTATTTGCGAATGCAACTACCGACTGCCGTCTACCGGACCATAGTAATTTGCATAAATTAACCCGTCATTTTGAAATTGAAATAATGAACAACCCTTTAGTCGACGAACAGTGATAATTTCAGGCCCGTAGCCGTAGCCCGTAGTCAATGACCTGGCCTGGCCAAAAAATCTTTCAGAATCATGCAGTTTTCACCATTCTAAGCACATTTTAGTGATTTAGGCCATTTTTGGACCAAAATTGTCACAAGTGAACCCCCCTAGAATTTTTCAAAAAGTGAACCCCCTGGGCAAATCCTGGCTACGGGCCATTATGATTTCCCAATGAAAAAAATAATTCATCTGATTTTTCAAAAGGAATATACTGCTTTTATAATTTCATTTATATGCACACTAGTATCTTCTTGACCTATAGTCAGCACTGATTGATGTATAGGCCACTTACTAGTATTAGGGTCATGATTCAATTATGAAATGTAGAGGCGTACAATCCAAACCAGGAAGTACTTTTTCAATTATCGCACCTCTTCCTTTAATATATTGGTCAATTCGTCCAAAATATCACCTAGCCAAATCAAAATAAGAAGGATCCGCCAGAGACAGCTAAGTCACCGTAGTTTTTAAACTTCCAACTTCTTATAATTTTCGTTTTTGGAAACTCTAATTTTTTTACTTTTTAGGCCTCAGAAGTAACATTACAGAGAATGTTTGTAACTTTATGCCTACGGAAGATTGTCGGAAGTGTAGGGAACATTTAGAGAGTTCAAATATCCTTGTTCTGACTGGTAAGACATTTTTTCAGATAGTGAGGCTATCGTAGGCCAATAAGCTTTTCTGGTTTTTGAGCTATTCATAATGTCAGATTGAAACGATATCAAATATATCTTTAGAATTTATTAATTGTTTTGAACCGATTGAACTTATCCCTGGCGAGATATCCAAGTCGGCCTAACGTAACTAACAAATGTGAGCTTTGTGTCATCATATTGAGGGTGGATTACCTATATCTATGTAGATGACTAGAGACATCTATTCAATTAATCAGGGTTTATTGTATACTCTTTGGTTAAAAGTGTCCCTTCTTCGAATACATCAATATTGTTGAATACAAGGACATCTATCTCGAGATAGACGTCCTTGTTGAATCACAGGCTTACATTTTTTGTCAATAAAATCAATTCATTTTTAGGTCTCAGTGGCAGTGGGAAAACTGAAATCGCAAAACATTACTGGGCAAAACACAAAAAGGAATATGAGGTTGGATGGACAGTCCATAGTAGAACTGAACATGACTTGTACAATGGACTGAAATTGTTTCATCGATTTCGCCCAGTGGATTCACACTTATCTGTCATGCTTGGTGAAATGAATGAGGAAATGAAACGAGATACCACAAAAAAATTCCTCATTATATTCGATGATGTCACCGAAGAGACGCAATCCACCATTCAGCAACATTTTAATCCAGCTGATAACATCAAGGTCATCATAACAACCGAATTGCGTCTCTACAACTTTAACCAATCCGACATTCTAGAAGTAGGTGGGTTTACGAAAAAGGAAATGTCTAAATTCCTCGATGACTTAGATGGGAGTTTCACTCAAAAGGTACAGCTTTGGACCGAGATGGGACACCTTCCATGCGCAATTGCATGCGCCGTGTATGATATTAGACAGCAAAAGACAACTATTGATAAGTACCTGAAAGAAGTGAATGATGTTGATACAAACACATTCGTAGAACAGAGAACCCAGAGAGCGTTGGGTCCTGATTATAAAAGTCGTGGATTTGTGAAGGCCCATATCATGAGCGTTAGGAACATGATACAGGAGCTCCGTGAAGAAAATGGTCCTCTTACAAAGGAAGACGTAAATGGTTTATGCTTGGTACTCAAGGCCATTGCATACATGGACTCAAAAGCGATTCCAGTTTTCCTACTAGAAATTCTTCTTCTGATAATCCTCAACCCAAGGAAAGAAAGCAGAATTTCATCTTGCATAAACCAGTTGCTTGACAAAATGCTGAACAGGTGTTGGATCGGCGTCTTTTGCGAAGAGAAAGACAAGCCACGTCTTCTAGATATCCATGAGTTGGTTCAACTAGCGGAGCGTTCTATGACGGACGATGACGATGATTCCCGACTCAAAACGCTGGAATATTTGTTAAAGGCACTTCTGTGCTATTTTACAAAAGATACGGGCTACATGAAGTTCCATAAAAAGAATTTGCTACTGCTTCCTCACGTGGAGAAGGCAATTGATCGTGTGAATGATTTAAGGCTCGAAAGCGAACTTGATGACCCAGTGGCAGAACAGGTCTCTCTCACGTTGTTAGAAATAGACCTTCTGGATCGACTAGGGCATGCATATTCCAAAACAGGGCAATTAGAACAGGCAGAAGAACGACTGATCAGAGCGGTTGATTTATTCGCTGCAATCCTTGAAACTACAAAGGATGAAATCCTCCAAACACGCGAAGAATTGCCCTTGGATTCATATGCTGAGATGGTTTATCACAAACTTAAAGACCATAACATTGGCAACCCTGTTATTGGCACTGTGTTGAATGATACAGACATAGAGCAGATGAAACTAGAAGTTGGAGAACGTGAATTTCCTAATCTTGGATCACACAACCAAGTGACCAAAGGCGCATACAAGAAGCTTGTTGACTTGAACTTAGCCTTACCAGAAGGACAATTGAAACAAATATATGTTACCGAGTTAATGTCCTCAACACTCTATGCTTATGGCAGACTGTACTATTACCACAGAGAAAAGTTCCATCAAAAGAAAAATCGTCAACAAGCAAGATGTCTAATTGCCGCTTTGAGACTTGCCCATGCATTGGGAAATGTCATTGCAAAAGATACTGGGGTCCATGTACTTCATACCATACTTACGAAACGCAGTGGGCTACTCTATTTACATTCCGAGGACCTGGATGAAAATGGTGAGAAGAAAAGTGCTGAAGCAGCCCTCAGTCATTTATACGAGGGTAAAAAGGAATATAAGACACTGTTGCAATATGAAGTGTCCGATGTACAATGGTTTCAGCGTGGCATTTTGAAAGTGACGAAAAACGACCCTCATCACGGTAGCATATGTAGGGAGAAGTTCTTGTTCATATGTAAGAGAATATTGGACATAGAAACCGATGCATCTAAACGCAGTGAGGTTGAAAGAGATGGTAAATCGTGTTTAAGGGCATTGAAGAGAAACATTGAGAATCAAGAACACGGCGAGCTTACTCTTCAACGAGGCGGCGACTACCTTCTTATCTGCGCCGAGTTTAACGTGGCGGTAAAACAGTGGCAATATGCCATTATGGATTACAAAGAATCAGTACATCGGTACAAGGTAAGATTATGGTCAACCAAAAATTTGATCCTGTTCTTATAGAGTATAGTTTCTAGATAGATGAATGAACAAAGAAATGAAATAATACATATCACCCTGTCACTCTTCCTATTTTGGGCCAGACTGTCATAGCTTTCATATTATAAACTTGCAATAGTCACTTAATTTAATGATTTATGAAAAAGTGTTGGTTGAATCTGTCTAAAACTCGATTGGAATACAATGGGATGACGCTGTCAATGTATATATTGTGATTAATCATGACATTTTTGGTTGCCAAACGAATAAACCAAGGTTCTCAAAACTCTTAGCATTGCGTCAATGGGGATCTGACACACATTTTTTAAACTCATCGAAAATGATTTAAATGACATATCGGTATAAATCAAAGTCATTTTTGTGGAAAACCTTTCACTGAGTTTAAATACGGTGTGCTATTAAAAAGAAAGAAAAGTCGTTAGGGCTAGTGGAAATCTCTTAAAATCTCATGAAAAAACTAAAATTAGCTAAGTTATGTGGAAACTCATCTATTCGTCCATTCGTCCACACGTACAGTAACATGTATTAATTATTATTCATGTAGGAAGCGTTGACCATCCCCTGGAAGAAATATGCTAGGGCTATAACAGGCATGATGAAAGTTGGTCGTGATTGGTTTACAGACGATCCCGATGAACCTAGTGCCATTGGTGTAGTTAATTACACAAGACAGGAGGCGGCAGTGTTCGTGGAAAGGGCTCCACAGCCATTCAAGAATGCGATAAATGTCCTAATAGGAAATGCACCGACGCCATTACCTTTGCAAAGGTCAAAATCACTCCCTGCCCCGCCAATGAGTTTGGAGTCGGAACCCCTAACTCCACCAATGCTCTAAACAAAGACCTCTCTTTTCGAGCCAATCCCCAGGGATTTCGTTCGTGGTGCTGAGGAGAAAACTCGGAGGGAAGAACTATATGCTCTTGCGAGAGGTAGATGAGCCAGGCGTCAAGTGCAACCAATATATGATGAAGGAGTTTTCTGTTTCTTAGATGTAGACGAAATCCCTATGAATACATCCTGGGAACGCTCCTGTTTTGTTTGGGAAGTCAGGGGCGTAGCAAGCTTTCAGTTAGGGGGGGGGGGTGCGAACGGCAAAATAAATTCGGTTTTCAGTTGGAGGGGGGGGGTGCGATTATGTTATGTTTGAATTGTTATTGGTTATAGGGTGAGGGGTGTTCGCACCCTTCGCCCCCCCCCCCCCCCCCCCCCCGGCTACGCCCATGGAAGCTGCGGGTTGCCTTTTACTTTTTGTATTCTTGATACATTCGGAAACTATAAGATAAATCATTCTATTAAGTCGATATATATATATTTAGAAGTTGTTTAATTGAAATAAACATTTTATCCAATCATTCAAGTTATGTCACAATTAATATTTTGTTGTTTATAAATATGATACATTTTTAGAACCAAAGGACAGGTGTCCATAAATCCCTCTTTCAGCCCAACTGCAAAACAAGTATATATGGACATGGAATTGAAGATGAAGTATAACATATTACTTAAAATGTGATTTCTGAGAGTTTTGACCTTGACACTTGGGTCATTTAAAGGTCATTTTTGAGAGGTGCTGTTTTGGTACAAATTTTCCCATTTTCTAATACAAGGCAATTGGTTTAATTTTTATTTGGACTGATAATAAGACATTTGAATGGAAAGAGAAAATATTTGTTGATATATACCCAAGGGCAATCGTGAAAATCATGAGTTTTAATGCTTCAAAATGAATGTTCTTGTTCCCCTTTGAGGCTCTTAGCATGTTTTAACAGTTAGGGGGTTAATATTTTTAAAATGCTCTTGAGCAATTAAGAGAAAATGATTGCAATTAAATACACATTTAGGGCATTTCAATGAGAATTGGTTCTTGTCAGTTTTCGAAACATGTTTGCCATATTCTAAAGAGTTATAGGCTCATTTTTAATAAATGCACATTTGGCAATTAGCAATTGATATTCAATATTTTCCGATATATTATAAAAAAGAAGGCAACATCATGTATAAATGACAATTGACACTCAAAGGATTAACGGATAATTTCTACGTATTCCCTTCTTTGAAAAATTCTTATGTCATTCAATTCTTTTGTATGATTAATGTCACTTACCTTCTATGATTTCAGAAAATAAACAAAATGTTCCCATGCACTCTAGATCTGTACTTGTAATGAATTTAAATGGCAAACAGAACTTTAAAATTGTGATTTTTGATCTAATTGTAGTAGTAGTAGTAGATTGTACGAGGGGTGATCAATAAGTAATGGACGCTTTTTTACACAGATGCTTTTTATAGACCAATCCCTTCGATTTTCTTACCAGTGATACATCATTCAATTATCTATCAACTCTGAAGATTTGAAGACAATATATATATTACATGTTGATATATCTTTATTTCCGTGAAGGAGGTACAGGTACCCCGGGACCGACATTTACGTCACATATTCTGAAGCTATTTTAGGTTGTTTAACATGCAATGCAGTTGAATGCAGGCTGAACAAAACAAACCATTATGGTCATGAATTACCCCATTTTGTTATGCCATAATAATAATATAATAATTTTGAATATTTTATCATCACTATGTGGTATTCATGCCACATGCATTCCACAGGGCCCTCTAAATAGTTTCCATCAAGTGCTACGTGTACACAATTCCTCATCCTCTTAACTCAAGATTGTGAGACAAGGCTGAATCCATTCTCTGACATGGTAGCAAGATGCAGTTGCACGGGTTGTTTTATTTCATCAATGTCAATAAACCTGCGTCCTTTCTCTATAGAAATAAGTAGTATAGAAATAAACAAGTCACATATGAGCAGATCTGGACAATATGGTGCATTGGCCAAAGGCTCAATTTTGAGGTCCAGGGATATTGTTTTCTGAACATTTTGAGATCTGTGGGCAGGTGCATTGTCCATATGGAGTAGGGTGTTCCCTTCTCTCACCACCCCTTTCTTCCACTGAATGCTTTCTTAAATTGACCTGCAAACCCCTTCCATACAACACTCTGACATTACAATACTTTCTGTTTATGTGTTACCAGTCAGCAAAAAAATTTAAACAACGCAACACTTGTTGCATATAAAACGTTCAAATTTAACTGAAATTTACCAAACTGGCTAAAATGTGAACATGAGACGTAAATGTCGGTCCCGGGGTACATGTACCTCCTTCACGGAAATAAGGATATATCAATATGTATTATATATCTTGTCTTCAAATCTTCAGAATTGATAGATAATTGAATGATGTATCACTGGTAGGAAAATCAAAGGGATTGGTCTATAAAAAGTATCTGTGTAAAAAAGCGTCCATTACTTATTGATCACCCCTCGTATTGTAGTAAAAAAGTTCCTATAAAAACTGCGTATTTTTAGTTTGTATTGTTTTCATTGACAAGATCATCTGAACTCAAGAGGTGTGTCACTTGCTTTGTCAGTATGATTGTGTTATTGTATTTTCACTATTGGATAACATATAGATCCCTTAAAATATATAAGGTTTTGCTTTACAGCAATCAATCAAAGTGTCTTTCTACTGGTCATATAGTTAAATATGCTCTACCATCGAATTAAAGACTTTAATTTTACCTCTCGAAATATGACACATGACAACGGATTCGGTATAAATGACAACGGTATGTGTGGGTCAAATGTGATGTAAAATTGGGATGACAACGGTAATATTTGACAACGCGAAAAAACAACGGTAAAGTGTCTATTTACCGTCGTCATGTTCTGATTGCAATTAATTCCTTTGCAATACATCCACCATAGTCCGTTGTCACATCTTACCAAATGCCGTTGTCTTTGTAAATTATTTAAATTTCTGATTCCGTTGTCATTGACGATATGAAAGACGCTCTATTTTGGCGATTCACGACCCCATTTGATAGAAATTGGGATTTCATATAATTCATCATCGCAAGAGCTTAATACACGCACAGAATTAGCGACGATAAAGTTCTATGAATCGAGGACCAAGTGATTAAAGAGTTGAAGCGACAGTTATGTCCGCCATTTGTGACAACGGTATTTGACTTTACCGTTTTGCGATTCACACCGGAATACCCTGAAAACACCATCACTGAATCCAGAAAGTAATAGTAAACACGATCATTGAAAAAAGATCGAGAACATCTTATGTATGCATTTCACATTCCCAGACATTATCATTGCTCCCTGAAGGGTAATAGAAAGACAATATTAGCTTTTTATATGCATATCTTAACAAAAAATAATTCCCGTAATTATTTGGACTATTTTCACCCAGCTGCAAGATGAATGCTTCATCATCTTATTCCATCAAGTATTTCATTGACATGATTCACTGGTATTGGATGGGTTAAGCAGCACTACTTTTTACAGCGTAAACCGCGAACGGGAAGGCGCGCATTCACGGTTTACGTTAATTCAACGTTCGAAATCAAAGTGTATAGGTAGGTGGTTCCCTAAAGGATTTGTAGTACTTTATCAAGCTCAATCGAGATAAATATGATATATGTCGAATGCATGATTTTTTGACACAAATCTGTGTATCTATCGAAATTATTTGTGTCCAATCTAATTAAATATAACTTGAATATCGAGGTTATTGCGCATATATCAAATCATCTTAAATCTTTACTGCAGATATTGTGCTCCTTCAAGTCTTAGGTCTTCATGAGAATGGAATTATAATCACGTCCTGTTATATTTTGTAAGATTCAAAAAGTCATAAAACACTGCAAGCATCTCCTGCACGAATTTGTCATTAAAATAATATTTTTTATCGTACCTAAAAAGGTACGAAATTGTCGTCAGCTTGACGGGTGGGTGGCGTCTCACTTTCTTGTCATCGCGATTCCAGGGAACTTATTGGATTTATTTCAAATTTTTACACATGTTACATGGTAAGAAGTTCTAGAGCTGATTAACGTTTCAGCGGCCAAAAATTGGGTAGGGGGAGAGGATAAAAAAGTCATATCATAAAGGACAAGTCTTGGTTTGGAGAAAAGTCTCCTGGGCTAATATTTTTTTTATGAAAAATATAGAAATATTACACAAATTAAATTATGAATATTCAAAAGAGGTCATGTAAAGCTACAATATGTAAAAATATCAAAGTTGTCCAAAGCAGGCGTAATGTGCAGTAGACTGATGAACTTCGTTCTCCAAACCGAGACTAGTCTTTTGGAGAGGGTTATAATTTTAATAACATTAAAATTGTACTCAAACCATTTACTCAATTTAGAGATATTAGTGCTATCTTAATGTACGAAGGCCACAATTTACGATGGTGAACCATTAGCAATTCCAAAAGTTAATTTTACCATGATATCGGGGATATAAAGTACGTGTCTGTTTTCGTGGCAAAAGTGATTTCATTTTCAGAGCAGAAATTTTACGTCACGTGACATGTGACGTGTGTAGTTGAAACAATTTGCCGCGAAATATGATTTTGTAGATGAAAACGAAACCCTGGCTTTCAAAATCGAGTTATTCACTCTTATGTTTAGCCAATTATTGCATGATTAAGGCTATTCTCATCAATTTTGAAAAGGGTATAATATCACTTGCAATTGAGTGCGGAATCAGTCGAGCTGAAACGCTATTTAAAGCGTGTCAGTTATACAACAGCAAAAAATTGCCAGTGTTTGGGGATTAAAACTTTTCAACCCGAATGTAATGCTGTAAAGCCAAAATATAATTATTGGGTTAACATTTTCAGTTATCAATATACGGTTTCACAAATGCATTTCAATCAATTCCTTGGATATGTAATGAATACTATTGCAGTGCTCTTCCCTCAAGAATTTCTTTTTGTGAAGTTCAATCAATAAAAATTATTTATTTGGCAATTGGAATGCGTGCGAATGTGAAACTAATGTTTATTTCTGCTTTGGTTCAGCCTTCGTAGTAGTTTGCAACAACTTTGGGATTTAGCGCCAGAATAACTTGGCACACGGTACGTCATGGTCAGGTGACC